CTTCCTTCCTTCCTTCCTTCCTTCCTTCCTTCCTTCCTTCCTTCCTTCCTTCCTTCCTTCCTTCCTTCCTTCCTTCCTTGTGAGGTAGTTCAATCCTTCTCTTCCAAGCTGGTTTTTTTTTCTTTAAGTCATCAGAAGTGCTTCTATTTCCTTAGTTTCCAATTTTACTACCTTGAAGTCACGTTTAAAGATTTATTGTTCGCTCAGCATCCTACCGTAAGTCATTGATTCCTGCTACTTTTTAGAGCCTTGGTCTCCAACACAGCTCCTCTAGTGCCATAGGGTTTTATGTTCATATTGTTGTCCATATATATTGGTCATATCCTCTGTAATCCTTCCAGTGAGTAGGCAGTTTTGGGAGGCAGAACAAAGCATATTTGTCTTTCCTCTGCTGCACAGCTCATTTATTTCTCCCTCTTTTCCCCATTTCAGTTAGACGTTCAGCATGCGCTGCTGCATGCAGTTATTAATTATATTTATTGATTCTGCTGTTGTTGCTATCTTTTCAATACACCTTGCTCAAATTTTGATTAATTGTTCTAATTGCCCTATAATCTGCTCTTATGAAAGCTGACTCAGGAATATCAATTCAAGAAACTTATCTAAAAGGGTTCCTTTTCTGCAAAGACAAACATATGTGAATACTTGCAAACAATGTTCCCCACCCCCCACCCTCTGTATACATTGATACTTGATGAAGCATTGTAAATGATATGACGGTTTCATGTTCTTGGAACTTTTATGTAAAAAAAACCCCAAACCCAAACAAGCAGCTTTGGTTAGCAAATCATTAGTAGATAAAATAGATTTATGGGCAGATATTGTTGCATGCTTCCCTCACTTAAATTTATACTTAAACACTGTTCTTACATGGTTTTCCTTTCTCAGAACAATGAAAAGCTTGGATAGGGAAAACCCAAGTCATACATTTTGTTGTGTGTTTGCTGGGATAGTAATGTCCAGAAATTGCTTGCTTTGGCTGAGTAATCCTAAGGACTTTGGAACTGTGTTGTGTCTATGATGAAGTTTATAATCTAACAGATTAAATATCTTGGCTTTGCAATCACTCTCAGTTCTTCTTTTCTCTGGCAACTAATGCTCTTTACTAAGAATCATTTTCTTAGGGGTTTAATAATAATAACCATGCATAAGATTGCAGTCCTAAATTAAGGTAGTGGCAGATTTATGATTTAGAGTATCATGGCCCATGTGCACATTCAGATATTGAGTTTGGCTTATCCTTTTAGCTTTTCTCATGATGTCCTACTTTGGCTGAAAAAACTACTCTATTGATGTTCACCCATGAAGCATCGATGGCATTATGGAGGTTTAGTAATCTATTGCTCCAAGCCATCCTCAATGAATAAGCATCATCCTTGCCATTAATTAACTCTGAACTGGACAGTGTTTTGGATAATAATAATAAACGAATTGCTGGCTGACTATAATATCGCTGTGTCACATAGGCCTATTGTACTGCAGTCCATTTTAGCTTGTCCACAAAAAGATAACATTTCGCCTGCCTGTAATGAAATCTGGCTTCATAAACAAGAGCTGTTTATGTAAACCACTGATGAAGTGGATTTTCTTTGTAAAGCTAGAAAGGGGATTCATTCTTGCATTATTTCCACTACAGTGGTGGCTGTATCAGTTCATTTTGCCGCTTTGAATAATGTATCTAGGGTAATGGAACAACCTATGTTTTCATGTCTGGCACACATTACAGAGCCTGCTGGGAGCAGGAAAATTCATTGGGTGATAATCTTTTATTGGAACAGCTTCTGCCATTGAAGTATGTGCAGTATTTCGGGATTCCTGGAGCTTTCATCTGGTCAACAGAATTCTGTTGCTGTTGACAATTTTATTTCAAAGACCAGCAGAAATATTACCCCAGATGCATTGCACTTGAAGAACTCTTTGCTTGCAATCCTTAAGCAAACCCATTGCAAAGCAAATGCATTAAATGACACTTCTGAATAAATATGCATAGGAGTAGGATGTGGGTGGCTCAGTAGGACAGGATCCCATACATGATACTTGAGTCCCCTCAAATGCAGCTACTGGTCTTATCCTTTTGAATTGATGTAGCAGTCTCTTCTGTTTCATAATTTGCTATTTGATAACGCGCTCCTTCAGGTTTGTTGCATCAGAGATGGAAGTGTGGAAAAGCTGTATGTTCAGGAAAGAAAAGGACTCGTGTTTCTTCTAATGCACCCTGTCGGTGTCTTACAGGCATTCTTGAAGGTCATTCAGTAGTGCTCATAAATACGTACAAATCATCAGCTGAAAGATTGTTAACCCTGGAAGCAGTGCCATTTTAGCAGTGCTAAGTGCATCCTTACACTACATTCCATGAGCTTCTGTGTAGTTCCTGCATTCAGAATGCAATGGCTGTTACAGTTTTCCTGCTCCAGGTTGGTCTTGATCATAGCAATACCTTTTTCACAGGGACATTTAAATTGATTTTCTTCTTTGTCTGTGTAGTGGCATCGCATAGCCTAATTGTTTATTTTTCAATGTTTGTTTTGTTTTGGAGAGGTTGGATAAAAGCAGGAATATTGTTAGACAATTGCAGTTGTTACAGTATCCTAAGAATTACAGTTTAAAGGCAACACTTTTTCTTTGCCCTGCAATTAAAAAAAAAAAAAAAACACTGTGACTTGCTGGAGTGAGCTTATTTAAAGTGCATTTGGTGTTGTGGGTACTCTTACAAAGTGGCTGCAGTAATGAGTGTGACTAGTCACAAAATGCTCATTTATTAGAAAGGCAAACTAACTCC